CGGAGGAGATCTAATTGGTCTAGTGGAGGTAATTGGCAGTAGGCGGTCTCTCAAGTACCCAATACCATGAAGGGCTTTGTAGGTGACAACTAGCACCTTGAAGCGTACCCGGAGATCAACAGGCAGCCAGTGCAGCTCGCGGAGGATAGGTGTTACGTGGGTGAACCGAGGCGCACCCACGATCGCTCGCGCGGCTGCATTCTGGACAAGCTGAAGTCACCGAATACTCTTCAAGGGCTGCCCCATGTAGAGCACGTTGCAGTAAGTTGGGAAGAATCCTCTTGTTTTTATTGGTGCAAACATACATGGAGGACATGTTGGCAATATTTGCATCCTATATTCAAATGGGGCCAGATATTTAGGCTCATGATTAAATAATTGATCTTCTTCATAAAGATCTGATACGATTGCTTTTCACATTGAACCATTTTGCATGGGGGCCTGAGCAGCATTTAGCAAGGAGCATTAACTGCTTGGGTAAGAACAGAGCGAGGACAAAATAATTATCCCACAGAAATATATTTATAACTTTTGCATAGGGATGAAAAAAAAAACTTGATTCAATTTCCACTCAAACCCTGGAAATGAGGCAGGCTCAGAATAGAACAAATACTTGCACATTTGTGGTCACCTGAGCATCTCCTTGTACTGTGAGGGAACTGAAAGCCAGTGAGTGCAGTGGCCTCAAAAAACCTGTGCTTCAACCATCGAGGCATTCCTGCTTACCACCATTCCCTTCTATTCACATTTGTGTCAGGCTTGACCTAAATTCCATTGAACTGAATGGAAAAAGTCCTTTTGACTTCCCTTTGAGGCTGTTAATACGCACTACTTGGTGGACTTTCTGAATCATGAAAGCACTGCCAAAGCAGTCACTCATGCAGCAAATTGCAATAAAGCACAATGGGCAAGAGAGAGATACAGAAATCTTCTTTATGTAATAATTACATCTATCTGAATATGCCAAATTTCAAGAAGTGAGTATGGTTTTTTTTTTAACAAACCCAAAGAACTCTAGTCCTGTCCAGCCCACTAATTGACACATTACTCGTCAGAGACAACATACTATTTGTTTTGTGGGAATGATATGGCTGCCTGTATATGACAGAAATTTTGCTATGGCAGACTGGTGGAGGTGCAGTAGACCAGTTTTTCCCCAGTAGAGATATTTGAACTGTATCAGGGTCAACTCAGCAAGGCTAGTAGTCAACTCTAGAGCAAATCAGAAGAGGAGGGTCAAAATAAAATTGGACATTTAAGAATTAGGTGTACAAAATAAAGTTCAGACAGAAATAGAGTTAGGCAACATCAGCCGGCTTTTTGGGGTTTGTAGTGTGGCATCTGTGCATTTTATAAGGTCAATAGCAATAGCAATAGAAGTTAGACTTATATACCGCTTCATAGGGCTTTCAGCCCTCTCTAAGCGGTTTACAGAGTCAGCATATCGCCCCCANGGAACGGGATTAGCAACCCACCCCTGTATCAGGTGCTTAGCATACGGTTTCTTATATATGAGTGCAATTAGTGTCATCTTCTCTCCTCAGTCCTTTTGTATGAGACCAGGTATGCAATCCAGGAAGCTAATTTTAATACCCAAGTTGGAATTCAGTTTTACTGCTTCTGACAAAACTTGGCCTAAGCCTAAAGTTTTGCCTAGCTTCAGATACCAGTTTTGCCATTTCTGATATTGAAACTGGGGGCCATGTTTCAACTCTTGTTAGCCCTGTTGTACAGCTGTGTAACACACATTCAGAGCCAGGGCTTTATAACGTGCTTCCTGTGTCAATAAAGGTCTTGCATGGCCGAGTTTGAGGATGCATTACAAAAGCTTTAAGTTGTTAAATGCCAGAAAGGTGAAGTTCAGCAATTTGACAGAATAAATCAACATCTGCCTTGTTTTCATAATGGCTTTTGGCATTTGCCTTTATAAGAGATTATATATGATAATTTAATGCTAGGAGGGCCATCTAGTGTGCCTCCATAGGCTGCTGTTTTATATCTTTGAATTTTAGTCTGATGCGTTCAAGGTCAAGTCACATTGGTAATTTATGGTTTAATCAACCCATCTGTGTTTTTTCCTCTGTATGCAGATTAGATTTAAATGCAGTCAATGCATTCAAATATGTCTATAAGTCTACATGGCATCAATAGAAATTAAGCTAGTGAAGATTTCTATAGTGGATCAAGATTTTTAGCCATTCAGAACACCAGCTGCATTCTTGATGTTTCACTGGATGTATCCTATTATTACAAAGCAGTCACTTTCCAAGTGTTGCTTCATCACCAAAATGGATAATGTGTCATATCACTAGAGGTCAACCGTCAAGAGTAGATCATCCACTGTACTCTGAAAAGCTGTATACAGAAGAACAGTCCTTAGTGAAGGAGCCATTTAATATGAATAAGACCAAACACAGGTCTAGTATGAAATTTGAAAATCAGCTATCAGTGCTTCTTTTGAAATTGTTAACATCCCTCTGGTGACAAGAGAGACCAGGTGCTTAGCTACATTCAGACTAGCAGGATTTTGTACTTGGGAGAACTGTAGTTCATTGCTCTTGGAAGTCATGGGGGTGCTTGAAATCGAATTCTTCCCAGTTTCTGAATTCTATTCT